TGCTATACAAGAAGAATAATTATACGTATTTTCCCTCTTATTTCAATATAATAAAATTTGCTAAAATTTGATCGCATTTATAAAATTTATACAACTACTCGATTCGAAAATATAATGCAAATATCTGAATATCTCATACTTTCTTTTCCTTCCCTTAAAAGTTTTTGAGACATGTGACAGTGGAGAAAGATAAGTTTAGCCTCACTTATGCATTTGCCGAGCTTCTACGAAATCCAAGGTGCTAGCAAGTCGCGAATAACGAAATCCATGCGGCAAATCAATTTTGCACGAGTCCTCTGGGATTTTCAATGACTTTTGACGTTCTGGTTGAGCTTCGACCGGACGCGAAAAGACGAGGATTCGAGAGCGAAGCGGGTGAATAGGTGGATGAGAGGATGGGCTTCCGTGATGCGGAAGAGAATTCGTTACATTATTCAACAAGACCACGCGGAACACACGCTAGACAGGAAGAAAGCGTTTCTTATTTTTGCCAATCCTACTTGTTATTCCGGTACAAAGAATTTGTCCACCTAACGCACGAACAAGAAACTATTATTCCAACCGGTCTAAAAGTATTTGTTTTAGAAAATGCGTATGAAAATAATTGTCTTTGGTGAATAAAAATTTAAAAATCAATCCAAATATGAATACATTCTCGTTAGATAAACTCGTACTAACGTTTAAGTTAATATAACGAATGATATGTCGGTATTTCGCATTAATTACCACCATTTGCGGTATGTACGCTATTATCAAGCAACGTCATTTGTCTTCTAAGGAAGACGGACATGCGATGTTCTATATCGATCCAAAGCTTCGTAACAAGCGATGTAACATTAATTACCGATATCTAACTTAGATCCTGTTATTAATCATCATCAATACCGCGAATCAAATTAGAATTAACGTTTGTTAAATATAAACCAAATAAAATACTTGAGAAATTTATATTATCCCTTTTATTCAATTTCCATACGAATAATACATTTGAATTAGAGAGCGTGTATTAGAATAATAACGCGTAAATGCACGAGATACGTGCGACAATGTGTATATTAAAAAGTTGAAGATAATAAACTAGTAAACTAAATAAAGGAAAGAATTTAATATCTGAAGAATTTAATATGGCGAAATCTTTTGCACATCTTTATTACTGATAACAAGTCGAAGTTTTTAACGAGATGGCGTCATTCATATTAAACTGTTCCATTTACTTTTTTTATCCAATTTATGAACAAAATATAAAATTCGACGACAATCTATAAGAAAAGGAAAACGCAACGATAATTTTGTAACGTTTAAAAATATTTATTCGGAATATAAATATCGAATAAATAAAATAAAATAAAAATCTGTATACAAAATATTTCGAAACGAAAAATTTGTAAAAGTATTGAGAAAATTAGCAAAAGGAAATTTTTTGGAAAAAAAAAGGAAAAAAAAAGAAAATGGAAAAATATAAAGAATAAAAAATATATATATACGTGAAATGCATATGTATATGGAAATATGCAAATGTACTAAAAGTCACACGGATGTTCCCGTTTCATTTACTATATATGCAAACGTGTACTTACTTGGAAATATTTTAAACACGAAATATTACAAGTACAGATCGATGTTTTCTACTTTCATATATTCCTTATATTCCTCTTTCTATCCATCGTAGATCCGAGATCGAACTCTCGACTTTTGACGAGTTAATATCTCGCGCGCTATAATTTGAATAATTTCATTTCAAAGTTATAGGGACACGGAAATATCTTATACTTATACCTAGATCGATACAGCCTTATTTTCTACACGCGACGTGTTTTCCATACGATTAATATTCGCAACAACGGGTAGAAACGAGAGAAAAAAAATATATGATGAAATGCACGGATAACGTTAAAAGACACGACATATTTCAACATTAATTAATTCATAGGTGAAAAAAAATTATTTCGTTGTCAGAAAGGAATAATTTAATCGCGTGTATACAAATGTTCAATACTTGGATGGAAATAAAAAAACGTTATATATAATATCGATAATGCTTAAAATTAGTTAATCGTAGTAAAAATTCACGATGTTACGATTCATTCGTTCGTTTAGGTACTCTAAAATCCATTAAGAGAAAATGCACGCAAGCGCCACTTTACCGCGACCAGTGGGGTACCTGTTCAACTTTTAATCGGATCGTTTCCCTCGTTTATTCTCCATCTCTTGTCAGCTATTCACACGCTTTCTTTTTTCTCTCTCTCAATTCTTCCGCACTTTTTATAGTATCACGAATAGTATCAGCGAGATCTTCTTTTCATCATCAAATCGTCTTTCCGTAAAAACTTTTTGTCAATTTGCCACCAATTTAATTTTTTTTTTTTTCGAACATTCCAATTATACTCGCGTTTACGATAAAAAGAGATATTTTTAAACGAACTTCTCAACTCGTCATGTATAACGTCGTATATAATATAATATTTGCGAAACGTCGATGTTTATCGGATCGTATCCCTAAATTTTGATATAATAACGGCGCAAAAGAGAAAGATGAAAAGATAGAAGAAAACTAAGAATACGTTATGGCTTTTAGAGATAGAATCGGGGAAAAAGATTGGGAGGAAAGAAGAAAATGAAGCGAACGGTTTGCGGCATAGCTAGTTTCTCTTCTGCCATACGGTTTTCTTTTATCGAGTTGGGCAGATCCAATAGGGATTACGAAAACTGGATGGAATAGTAGAACAGGATAGAATAGCATCTCTCGCAGGATTTTCTCAGATCCTCTTCCTTCGATTCATAAATATCCCTCGGCTATAATACCGTGCTGAAAGACTCCCATGAGTATCTTTGCGATATTCACTATCGAAACAACTTCTCCGTACAACATTTTTATCCTTTATCTCGTCCGCTCGTCCAACGCGTGAAAACGAATCCAATCTTTTCGTATTATAAATATAATTTTAGATGAAACGATAGAAATAACGAATACGAACGATAAATATCGGTTCAAAATGTAAAAAAAAAAAAAAAAAAAAGAAAAAAGAAAAAGTCCATTTTTGCAAAATAACAAGGATACTTAGGCTACGATGTATGCACAATGTGTTATATCGGAGCTTAACAACGTTTAATCCGTTAATCTGATCACACGGTCGCTCGAATCAATTTACGTGATGTACGATCGAGGTTCGAGGATTCTCTTGGCCGAAAATCTGTGGTTTAAATCATTGAAATCTCGCAGCTGCTTCTTCCATAACTTCCACTTTTATACGACTTCCCGTCATATGCACTCTCTTTCATTATCGGTTTCATCTTTCTTCTCTTTCCTTTTTCCTCTTCCTTTCTGAAAATCTGCCAACGCCATAAGTGCCATCAAGTTGGATGTGCCTTTAAATTTCGTTAGATTTACGATTTCAATATCGCTTTAAAGATGCCTCTTGAAATTGAGCACGTCATTAATTTATAGAGAGAAAATGTCTTCCGTAAATATTTAACTAGTTTCCAACCAATTTACCACCTCTTACAAAATCTACCATTCTCTATTTTTTTCTTCTTCTTTTTCTTCTTCTCTTTCTCCCTCTCTCTCTCTCNTCTTCTCTCTTCTCTCTCTCTCTCTCTCTCTCTCTCT